AAGTGTATTTTTATGCTTTAACAGAAATTGTATTTTGAGGTCATCTTTTTATTAGTAACATTAGGGATTGGTGTGGATATTATATTTTCTTGTGTATATTTTTCTCTATATGTTTTTCTGTATATGGTGTACTGTAAGATAATTCTTAATCTGATAGATCAAGATACCTTGTGGTGATCATGTTGTCCAAAATTTGGGCTTTCGTCTTCCTTGAGTGTGTGGTTTGTAGGTCCAGCCCACAAGAACTCACATGTGTGGTATCAAGAATCTTTACCTCCTCCTTGCAGTGCTGCTTTACCATTTTCTTTACTATGCCCATCACTGCTGGTAATGGCGGGCAGGAATAGGTTTCTGTGCATGGACATAGTATCCTGCTCAGGTAATAGCCTCTTCCCAGGCATGGTTGATGGCTGGTAAACTTTATCCTTGTGGACCAATGGAAATCCTGCAGGCACTCACAAATGAACCCCTTCCTGAAGATCCACTAAGTCAGTCTCACTCCAAATGCTTTGTGCACTAATGTCAAGATGTTCGTCATGCCAAATTTTATCCATGATAAGACATTCCTGTCACCTGCCCCTTCTCAATTTTTTTTTTCATGGCAAGATTTCCATATCAGTGGCCACAGGTTTATATACTGTCCACTGATGTCTTGTGAATTTTGTTGCATACAGATTGATGATTCACAAGTGCTCAGCCACCCTTTTAAGTATTCTGTTAATAGGCCATAGTGACCATGCCCGATTTCCCCATTCCTTGAATTAGATTTGTAGTGCTATTGATTTGCATACAATTATTATTGTTATATACATTACGATTATCCTAATGTTATTAAAATGCATATAACATAAAAATATTAATTGATATAAAAGAATCTTTTTGAAAATTAAGGAAAAGGGTAAATAGATGAGCTAGGCAGGACTAGCAAATGACTCTTTGTGACTAAACACACATGGAGCAATCTCTGAGGAAACAAATTCAAATATACTGAAATTACAGTGGACATAGTATGTAATCATGCCATCTGCATCCAGTAGGTTAAGATTTAACATAATGTGAAATAAGATCATATATTTGATTTTCAAAAAAATCATGCTATCACACTGCAGTTTCTTAGAGTAGGTTTAACATATAGTGAATTATTTAAATATCCATTGGATATCCAATTTTAAACCTAGGAAAAAGTTTTAGAATCTTGGACTGAAACATGTAGTATATATGAATATACTTTAATTTAGATATGTACCTCATTGTTTTCAATACACATAGATTAAGTGTGGATCATTATCTTCAATATTTTGATTATAGAATACCATAATCAGAGACTGTAATCATTGTCTTTACCAGCCATGAGAGAGAGCAATTACGATGAGGCTTGGGATATCCACCAAGGACTTATTGTTGACTTCACCAGCGTTTGCTCTTCTTGGATGGTTGGTGTAAAACGGATCATCTCAGACTTTCGAAAAACTGAAAAGGAGGCAGCACCAGAGGTAGCAGAAGCTGAGGTGAAGACCACAGATGGAGAAGAAAAGGAAGCAGAGGAACTAACAAAGGATGTGAGTGAAGGTGTCAGCAACCTCTTAGTCCAACCAGAAGTTCATACAAAGGAAGGGGATGCTCCATCTTAAAGTGCAGGAAATATGAGCCGATAGCTTTTTTGTTTTAGTCTTCACTAGTCTGATGTTTGGCTTCTATTTGTATTTGCTCTCTAATATCAAGATCTGAGGGATCACCTCTAATATTTTCATACTGATATTTACATGACATCATTAAATTAATACTCTTTTTTCATACATTCCAAAACAAAGGATGTAAAATCCTTTCCATGTGCCTTTGTGGAAATATTCATCAATCATGCCACTGAAGTGAATGAGTTCCAGTTTTAACGCATTTAAATGTAATAACCCAAAGCTAGACATATTAGGAGTATCACTGGTTAGTAAGATAACTTTGTGGTTATTCTGGTCTGCTGAACAAGTAAAAAAGCAATAAGCAGTTCATACATGAATCCAGTATTACTAATAAAAAAGAGCAAATATTGTACTGGACAGAGAGAAAAAGTTTCTATGATGTGCAATATATATCATCAAAATTCATACAATAAGTAGTAGTGTGTAGCTTTACATAAGAAATAGTTCACATATTTGATATGATTGCATGCTAAATTAGAAAAAAAAGTTTAATTTTCAAAAATACTAAAATAGTTTACAGATATGTATTTATATTTATAGATATTTCATTTATGAGAAGAAGTGATCTTACAATTTTTTGAGTACTTAGTTTATCAGTGTTTTTTGTATTGTATTTTCTAAGGTTTTCCTGCATTTTCCAGTTTGATATTGATATATGCTATATAGTATTTGTTTGGCAACTATATAGTTTGTAAATTATGTTTCTCCTTTAGAAAATCAATGTTTTCTTTAAACTTTTAAGCTGATTAGTAAATCAACTTTTGAGGTTTAGTGTTTTATGAAATACAGTATGGGTTTCAATTGAACTGTGTCTTTCTTTTCTCTTCCTATAAAGGTATTTTTAATAGCTAAAAGAAATGAAAATTGACAAATATATTTGTTGGTCTTTATTGTTTGGTGACTCATGAATTATAACAGATAAAGTACATATGAGGGATTGCTATTATAAATGATCCATCATTTTGAAAAAAAAAAAAAAAAATGATGATTGTCATTTTATTTCACCACCAACAATAACCAGTTCAACTTCAATATGACATTTAATCCTCATAAACAGGTTACCAATGAAGCAATTACTATTACTAAATATTTCACTCCTTTACCCGTTTCCTTGATTTAAAAAAATATATTTTCCTTTAACTATATTGCTAGCAGTAATGTTAATAAGACTATAATAATTATAATATCTATGAAAATAAGTAAAGTAGCAACACAGATAACATAAGCAACTCAAACATTTTTCAAAAAAACTAAAGGCATGGTCCTTGGTGGCTGAGCACTTGCAGAGCCATCTGTATAGAGAGACATTTCACAAAATAATATGACAGTGAACAATACATTTTCCTGCCAGCACAGGGTTAGTATGCACTGACGTGGTCCTTGGGTACTGAGACTCATGACTAGCAAGAGCTTGGGAATACCAAGGTGAGCTTGAGTACCCACACAATTCTAAATTACCAGCCAGACAATGAAACTGCTCAACATAATTTTATGGTACTGCCTTCACCTATATGTCCAGGATATTATAGGGTCCATCCTTAGGACAGGAGTACACCAGCCAAGGATCTAGCCTGCCCCCTTGATATTAACATTGCAGTCCAGCCAACAAAATCTTAACCTTAAGGCACCCTCTCACCCCACCATAGGGTCATGGAACTATGCTTTGCAACTTGCAGCAGGAGATCAAATCTGTCAAACAAATTTCCCTTGTCCCTTGCTAATTACTTCTCTTACCAATGATGGTTAGCACACCATGTTCTACTCATGGACATCACTATGTACCTGAATGCCCCACCCTACTCCTGATAGAGTTGGTAAAGCTGCAAAAGGATGATGAACTGAAGACAAAACAACACGTTGTCGTTGTTGACCTTTTTCTGCAATCTCATTCTTCCTTCTTGTAATCCTGCAAAATTTAGGGGTGAATTCTAAATAAGATTGTTTCTTTTAGTAGCCACTCCTAATATCTTGCTCTTTGTTGTCATGGGGGTCCTAGGAGATGGAGACTGGTGCCCAATGTAGGCCCTTGCCTCAACTAATTTTGCTTGATCTTTTTTCTCCTTTCCTCTTCTGTATCTTCTTCATCCGCTTCTGTCCCTTTCCTAAGATATGAGAGCTGTGTTGAAAGGATGAAAGGTTGTCTTTATGTCAGTCATGAGCGGCCTCTGGGAACCATGGGCATGGTATTCCCTTGGTTAAGTGCCTAGCCCTTCCCCCTAATGGGGACCCTGAGGGGTAGATCATTTCTTTTCCCCATTTTATGCAGGTCCACCATGGCCAATAATGAAAATCCTTTACCCTTAATAGGGATATTAAGGCTTACCCCTTCATCAACTAGCCTCTCTGAATTCAATTTTGATGGTTTTCCGACCCCTTCCCCCCCTTTGACCACAGCTCCAACCGCAGATACTAATACCCCCTCTTGACGTTCACTGACAAATCTATCCATTCTGAGCTAACCACTCAGGTTATTATTCAATCTCCAGAATGCACCTCATCCTCTCTCCCAACATTTTCCTCTCCATCTCTTACTGCACAGTCTTCTTCAATGGCTACCCCTCCTTCCCTTATTACTACTCTTCATCCTTTTTGCCCTCCCCCCCACAGAACTACCCATTTTCCTCCCACCCTCTTCCTTGTACTGCCTCTACCTCTGCAAATTTTTTTAGTACTCTTGTTGGCCCAGCCAAGTGGGATCGATTCTTTGTGAATCCCCCCAGAGCCCCCTACTCTAAGAATACCCTTCTCTCTCAACAGTTCCTCCAAAAACAAGTAGGCAAAGTTACCTTTTACAATTGCTCTGATCATTCACGCCTAGTCACAGTTAAATCAGAATCCCAAGCTTGTGCACTATCTACCCTAACTGACCTTACTGGCAAACCCATTCCTGCCGAACCACACTCTCTCTTAAAACTTGTACTATAACTTTTTCTATCCCCCTGACTGATTGTCCCATAGATGACAAGAACTCGTCAGACTGTGAAAATGACCTACTTACCTGCTTTGTTGATTATGATGCAGTAACAGTGCAGTGTAAGCCCCATGTCAATATTTCCAAGATTAGCTTACATAGACTTGATCTCCCCCATGAAGTTTATATTGGTGGATTGTCCTACTATGTCCATCCATATTGACCCCTTCCCCGTCATTGTCAGAAATGTTGGCATTTTGGCCACCCAGCCAAACACTGTCGCTCCACAGCCCACTGTGCTCAACCTGGTCATGACATTTTTGATGTTTTATTAACTATCAAAACAAAAGAAAGAAAAAAAAATTAATGGAAGGGGCATTAAAGTTTTGTAATATATTTGTCTTTAGCTTTCCTCTCTTTTACAATAATGATTAGCGCTCATTCAGAGACCCATCAGACACTTTTTTACAGAGAGCTTTATGTCTCCTTAGCTTATCTGATTCATATGGGCCATCAAAATGATACTAGGAAAGTGGTGATATATAGAATACCAGCAAATCCTAGGAAAGTCCCCTGATCTGGTCTCACTTTGGAAACTTTTTCGGTGGTGGTCTGGAAATGCAGACCACTAGGAGTCCTGATCAATTCTGATTGGCTGCGAGATGTGGGAGCTAAAAGATAATTGGGTGCAATGTAAGGTTAATTATCTGATGGGCATGATATGCTAGAACCAGCTTTGAAGTCCCATATACACATGACCACCAATGATCAGTTTTGGAACATTTATATAGTAATGTATGAGATCTATTTTTGTTTTTTGTTTTTGCCATCTTTCAAGATTTTATATATATTTTTTTCGATATAAATATTTAATATTAAGCAAAATAATACAAGAGTTATTTTAAATTATTGCATTAAGCTAAAACTGATTATGGCAAAAAATACAAGGCTTTGAAAGGAAAAATTATTTTTGTTTTGTTTTGTTTTTGCCATCTTTCAAGATTTTATATATATTTTTTCTATATAAATAAATATTTAATATTAAGCAAAATAATGCGAGGTATGTTAAATTAATGCATTAAGCTAAAACTGATTATGGCAAAAAATACAAGGCTTTGAAAGGAAAAACTAAATGAAAAGTTGTCAAACAGATAGACAATGAAAACTTAAGATACAAAAGTTAGGTTCATGCATCCACACATACCATCTAGGAACATGGCTTACAAGAGCTGATCTATGTTGAGTGCCCTTTCATGAAATAATTTGCAAAATATAACCTCCCATTAATACCTCTATATGGGTATGCAATGTAAGTAATATGGATTTAAACAAAATCAGCAATGTATTTGATGAGATTAAAAATTAACATATATAAGAATGTATCATATATCCTTTTTACTCAGTATTGATAGAAATTTGTCTATGACTTAATATCAGCTGTATTAACTGTATGATGATGGGGTCTGAATTTTTTGTGATATAATATTATGCAACAGTCTAGACTTTGTGGCTAGGTCTAAGATGTTGGCCCACATATTGGAAGTCATGACACATATTTGTCATAGGCCATTATGTCATTATAGCTATAGCCATACCCATCTCTGAAGGGTTAAGTCCTTTTTACAGTGGTAAGAGAAGAACTAATGATTTATAGAAAAGAAGTCACTTTTCATCAAAGACCATGTGTGGTTCATTGCTCATTTTCTATTAAAATAGATTTCAATTTTGAAATGCATGTAGTTCCTTGTGCCTTCACATATTCAACTGATGAAATTTAAATCAAATAAGGAAACAAGTATGGTCTTTCAAGTGGTGCATGATATTCCTTTATTTCAATTTGGCAACACCCTGATATTTGATTAGATGTACACCAAAGTCAAACATAACATAATTGAAGATCAAGTTTTGGTGATCTCTGTGTATCTGATGACTTGTCAAGCGTGGTTATGGAATGCCACAGGTGTTAAAATGGTTTCCTGTGATATTCTAGGTAAAAATCTTTCAAAATTTTCAAATTATCTAATAGAAATGCATGCTGAATAGAGCATGCTGCACCCATTTTTTGGACAAATTTGCTGGCTAAGTTTTAATTTCAAATAGCAGTATTTCCAAAACCGTGAAAGGTGTGAAAGTAAAATTTTGGATTTTTAAAAAATATCCTTGACATCTATAAACACACATAGTGGTTACATATTCTGTTTTTGCTGGATGATTTGCTATGGAATCAATGAAACAGGAAATGGTTGTTTTAAAGTCAAGGAGTGTGTATATATATTGCTTAACTCATTATCGATTCAATGAAAAACTGATCTATTATGTAAAGATAGTTTCCCTGTCAAAAATATATACATGACACCTTTAAATTGATGATACAATCTGTAATAATGCACTCACATAATCACTATACTACAGTGCAAAGCATATACACTGTGCACAGTCTTTCCGGCAGTTTGTTAAAGTTGTGATAGGTCTGACCCAATTAATATTCATATATGTGGACATGCAGAAATACAGAAATAAATGTTTATTAGTCTATTTATCTGATAGATATACATTTATCTATCTATCTGGTAGCTATGCATGTCTAGACTGATAGATATCTATTTTTTATTGTGTATTTAAGTCCAGATAATGAATATTAGTTGGGTCGGGCCTCACACAATTTTAACAAACCAGCTGTTTGTCTCTTGTCTAGTCTAAACTGATTCCTCTCAAAAAGTGGTGGTTTGCCCATCTCACTTTATTTCTTGGGCATACCTGCAGATCATGCATGCTATCTGGATGTACTTTGAATATATCCAGGTGTGTCCTGTTATAAACTGGGATGTAATTGTGGTGGAAGAAAGTCTGCCAGTGTCCATAGCAAAAGGAAAAGGTAAAGCCTTATTGGAATCG